CATGGAAAAAACTTAAGGAAGTTGTACCTTTCAGTATGTATATCGGGATTCAGACAATAACTCTGAAAGATATTAAAGTGACCTTTATTGAATACACACGAGATAACTAAGTGTGAACAAAATTACCTCTGTCTCCTTAAAATAAAACATACGTTAGGAATAAAAGTCTGCCTTGGATCTAAGCAAAAATCTCACAGAAGTCTTTCATCTCAAGAATAACATTCAAGGAAGCCTGCGCGTGATATATATATTGTCCACTTTTACGAGAACATTCATAAGGCCATAAAACATGGTCGAGTCTTTTATTCACTCCTTCTTTTTTCACCCTGAAATCTTAAAGCAGCATTAAGATAAAGCGTGAATTGACCTTTTGCAGTTTTTTGGGTATTTGAAGACACACATTGTATATTTTTATATACAAATTGATATTAAATATTAATAAATACACACATACGAGTATACATATTTTAGACACACATTGTACATTTTTTTATATACAAATATATTTTAAATATAAATAAATACACATATTTTAATTATGGATATATGGCATAATAATGGCATATATTGGATCAAGATATCATTTATTTTACCAATATTTTAGTTGGCTAAACGCCAATCTTTTTCAAAGTATTATAAAACATTAATATGTTATAATAATATGATAAAGGTTGGCGTTTAGCCAACTGAAATATTTGATCCAATATATGCCTTTTTAATTGAAGATCTATTTATGGATGGCTCTATTTCCAAAACATATACATATAAATAAATTTATAATTAAAAAGGCATATATTGGATCAAAATACCATTTATTTTACCAATATTTCACCTGTTATAACACCTTGATAAAGGTTGGCGTTCAGCCAACTGAAATATTGGTAAAATAAATGATATTTTGATCCAATATATGCCTTTTTAATTAAAGATCTATTTATGGATGGCTCTATTTCCAAAACATATATATATAAATAAATTTATAAAATCAAAAATAAATTAGGGCTAAGTTTCTTGCACAATTTCTTTCTCTCTCTCTCTCGGGCTAACATGGCCTTCAACAGAAGCAACAAGTAATGTGACTTCTAGCTAATTATACACAAGCCGAAAATCCATGCAGAATCACTTTTCTCGGCGTGTATAGTTAGCTAGAGAAGTTATACTCCTAGTTGCTCCTGTTAAAGGACATGTTAGTCCGAAAGCTAACGAAATGAAAGTATACAAGAAACTTAGCCCTGAATGCCTTTTGATATTATTTAATTATAAGTCAAAGGGAGATAAACGTTTAAAATATAAATGAATATATATATATCGTTATGAAAATATAAGCGAAAAATTCATACTTAAATCATTAGATAATAAAAAGGTATATCTATATATATATAAATGAATGTTTGTATGTTTGTTGGTTTGTATGTCCGGCATACAAATTCGCAGTAGTTCACTAATTCAAACAAATATTTCCATACATAGGTAAAGAAATACGGGGAAGACGATAGGCTATTTTAAAAAATATATAAATCAATTATTAAACCTATATATTTTTAGTCAGAAAATGATGATGACGATATTGCTGTATCATGTTTGATTACACAGGTCTACAAAAAAACTTTTTTTTTTGCACAAGAGAACCTGATGGTGTTTCTAGTGTAACCTTTCATGCTGAACTCAAAAATCTAATCAGAAATTTCCCATCACCAATGGTTTTTGCCTGACGATCTTTTTTTAGTATTGGGATAAATACATGCATCCAACATGAAAGAGACTTACGAAAACATGAAACTGCTTTTGAAAAAGATAGAATATGAAAGATACGGTTGGAAAATATGCAGCGATTTGAAAGTCGTTGCTCTCTTGCGGGGATTACAGCTTGGATATACAAAATTTTGTTGTTTTCTGTGTGAGTGGGATAGCAGAGATAGGGAAAGGCATTACATTAAAAAAATCTGGTCAAACCGTAAAATCTTTACTCCAGGATATAAAAATATTGCAAATCTACCCCTGATCGATTCAGAAAATATTTACTTACCACCATTACATATTAAACTGGGATTAATGAAGAACTTTGTCAAGGCAATGGATCGAAATGCCAGTGGATTTGCCTACCTAAAACAAAAAAATTATAGTATAAGTGAAGCGAAGATTAAAGAAGGCATTTTCGTTGGACCTCAGATTCGAGAATTGCAGCAGGATGGAAATTTTCAAAATAGTTTGAATGAAGTTGAAGCAGCAGCATGGAATTCCTTTAGAAACGTTTGCAAAAACTTCTTAGGAAGTGTCAAGGTTGAAAATTACCGAGACATAGTTAATGATCTGTTGCTTTCCTACAAGGCACTGGGAAGTAACATGTCCCTCAAGATCCATTTCCTGCATTCACATCTAGATTTCTTTCCAGACAATCTTGGCGCAGTTAGCGATGAGCATGGTGAGAGGTTTCATCAAGCTATATCAAGCATGGAGAAGCGGTACCAAGGTAAATGGAGTCCCGCTATGCTTGCCGACGACTGCTGGGCACTCAAGAGGGATCTACCACAAGCAACGTATAGAAGAAAATCCACTGTCACTGCTTTTCAATAATAAATATGTTTCGTTCATATATGCCTTTATATTAACAATATTTCCAAATTCAAGTAGGTGTATCTCAGAAATATTGTGTAATAGAAAAAAACTTATGGTATATTTGGATTCAGGACATGTAGATAAGATGCTATTTCTTTGTGGACAAATAAAAATATTTTTGATAAACCAGTTACGTGACATTGTTTGCAATTTTTAGTGTATTTATCCCAATACTAAAAAAAGACCGTCACGCAAAAACCATACGTGATGGGAAATTTCTGATTAGATTTTTGAGTTCAGCATGAAAAGTTACACTAGAAACATAGTCAGGTTCTCTTGTGCAAAAATCTTGTTGACCAGTGTTATCAGATACAAAATTATATCGGGAAAAATTCCAAAAAGCAGAGAACACGGGTGAAACCAGTTCATTATTTTGTACGCAGGAACAAAATTCTAACAGAAAAACATTCATTCGAGCAGAAACCAAAAGCCAAATCATCTTTCTATAAAAATATCGCTTCTCAGACACAAAGTTTGGAGCGGGACGTTTCACAAGAGTACATCCACGGCGCCAATTTATAATTGTAACGAATAGTATTTGAATAAAAACATTTAATCGGGTAAAACCCGGGCATTGCCCGGGTCATTCGGCTAGTTAAAAATAAAAAAGGTATATCCTGATCAGGAGCACATGTGCTTTTCAGAAGGCAGAGCGCCATCTGGTGGATCAGAAATCAACTAAACATTGATTTAACCTGTTCCCTATATATATGGCCAACCCATTTATTTGATAAATCAAGAAAAGCCATCCATGAACGCGTTTATATTGCCTTCTATTCAATTCAATATATGACCTTTTATTATCTAATGATATGCATATATAGATACATATACAAATAAATCTTTAATTCAAAAAGACATATTTTGGATCAAAATATCATTTATTTTACCAATATTTCAGTTGGCTAAACGCCAACCTTTATTAAGGTATTATAACATTGTAATGTGTGTATAACATTAAAATGTTATAATACCTTGATAAAGGTTGGCATTCAGCCAATTGAAATATTGGTAAAATAAATGATATTTTGATCCAATATATGCCTTTTTAATTAAATATTTATCTATGGATTTCTCTATTTTCAAAAAAAAAAAATAGATGAATCTATATATAAATATCAAATTCTGTTCACCTATATAGACCGAAATTCTCCAGCTTACGGTGTTAAAAAGGTTATAATTGCTAAGTTATATATGGCAGTAGAAATTGTTTAATTTTTAAAAGAAAAATACGCGTCTATAATAGTTTCGAATTTTCATAACAGATGGCGCGCTAATGTATCATAATAAGTCATAAGTCAAGATTAACTCAGAATATTCATAGATACCATTTTGATTATAGTGTGGAACATATTTATAGGATGTCTTAACTATGTTAGAATTCAAGCGAACATTTCGATGTTAAGTAAGTTATAAAGATATAAATTTCTGTGAAAGATAGACATTTTGGCCAGTTAGAGTTTTTTATTTTCTCAACGTTTCGACAAAAATCTGTTGGACACCAGCCCCGCCACTCAAGTATAACACGTGACCGGAAGGATGACGTCGCCCCCCCACCCCCCCCCTCCTACTGACTGTAAAGTTTAGCCTAACGACGCTGTTGTTTGTTTACCTTCTACGGAGGATGTAACCTCTTTGTTTCCTCTCTTTCCCTTTTTAATCTTTATATAACCTATGCTTTAATAAATTAGTTAGTGCAAGGCTCTTGTCCTAAGTGTAACCAAGTACCTTGTCTACACCCCTACAATAAAATCTTTTGTCTTCGTCAGGAGAAAGGTTTTTGTCGAAACGTTGAGAAAATAAAAAAACTCTAACTGGCCGAAGTGTCTATTTTTCACAGAAATATGAATGCCAGCCAGGCAGCTTCTATCTTCAGGTTAAAGATATTAATATTGATAATATTGTTTTGAAAAAAGACACTTCGGTCAAAGCAGTATTTAACGTGTCTTTTATTTTAAAATATTTGAATGCCGGTCAGGTAACTTTAAGACAATCGTAATGATGATGATACTATTATAATGATAATAGAAAATTATGATAATAGATATTAATAAGACTTAGTACTGATCATTGTTCTTTGTCATACTCAGCAACTAATGTCCCATGAGACTATACTACACACACAGCGTTATTAAGGCCACCGGTCTTATAAAGATTCACCACAGGAAAGAAGCATAGATAGAGCTCCTATACTCAAAGCAACACAGAACCAAACAACAGCCTCCTGGTCCGACGCGTATGTCCAGTGTTCAGAGAATCCGCCGTGAATAGGTTAACGTATTTTTCCTTTTTAATATTGATAATCGACGTATATTTATTCCTAATTTTAACATGTTCTAAACGGTCTAAATCGTTATAATATTCTACATGTATTTATTATGAGGGTCGATGGGCGAGTGGTCTAAACCATTGGTTTTAGACCGCAACGACCCGGGTTCGAATCCCGCTTTGGGCACTTTTTCCAAATTAATAAAATGCTTCAATTTGACTCCCGATTCTTGCAAAAGTTCAATCCCATCAGCGAGTGCAAGTAACCAATCAAACAGGATTCTGACACACTTGTAAGTTCAAAATTCGAACTGCGCTTTTCACCCATGTAGACATGGGATATACTTACAGTAAAAGCAGTCGCTAACTACCCACCATGATTATCATGACCAGTACCACGTGTACTAGGAAATATAAAAATATAAATTATATATAAACGATAGCTTATAAATATTAATAATATATTATAGTGATTTGAAGAAAAAAAAATATATAAATAAATATTTAATATAGGGAAAGAATCACATCTGCTAACTGCCTGTGTGTATTTTTATATAAAATTAAAACATTAATATGTAAAAATCTAACCAACATAATAAATATCCATATAATCTATTATGAAAATTTTATCCACAAAATATATTTAAGTAAATATATTCCAAAATATATAGAACATATATTAATATGAAAAAAAAATACGAAAGAAAAAAAAAGATAAAAGATCAGGTGTTGAAATCAATATTAAAAATGGCATATCCTGACCAGGAACACATGTGCTTTACAGAAGACAGAGCGCCATCTGGTGGAACAGAAATCAACTAAACATTGATATCAGGGAACAGGCTAAATCAATGTTTAGTTGATTTCTGTTCCACCAGATGGCGCTCTGCCTTCTGTAAAGCACATGTGCTCCTGGTCAGGATATGCAATTTTTAATATATATTAATATGTGGAAATATATAAGAAATTAATATATCAAAGCCGAATGTTTCTTTTAAGAAAGATTCCCAATATTATCGCAATAAGGTGAGTTTGTATTACGTTTAAAAGAAGCATTCGTGTTTTGATGCCTCCATTTCTTATAGATGGATGACGCGTTATAGCATTATAATGTCAAAAAATAGTCCAAAGTATATAACACATGTTACATCTGTCGTGTCTGATTCGTACTTTGGAATGAACGATTGGCGATTGCTACTTTCTATATCTTACTAATGTAGAATATCAGAGCATGTTTGGTTATTTGGACATACTCATGGGGCCAAATTTATACCATTCAGAGACCATTGAAGAACTTTACACAATTTTAAAAACAGCGCAATGTGGGATTCAATCCAATGTGTTTCTGGTAATCATAAATCGAGAGTCACCGACAACCATTTAATGGTAGTTCAAGTAATTGGTCTGTAAGATCGATTGAAGAAATACTCTGAAGTTTGAACACAAGGCTTTTAAACTAATAGATGGGTGGATTTTACAAAGTGTCTCTCGGAGAGATCTCTACGGGAGTTTTAAAACAATTCTTTGGGGCGGAGCGTTTTATGTGGTCGTAAAGCCTATAAACGGCACGGCCGGGACAGCATGGGTTCTTCCTACTCCACTGTGCCGCACTGGATTACACTGGATAACACTGTATTATAGAGACAGCACGGGTTGTTCTCTACTGTATGATACTGGATTTCACTTGGAGATCTCCTCTCCATTACACTGGATAACACTGTATTATAGAGACAGGACGGGTTCTTCCTTCCCCACTGTGCTGCACTGGATTACACTGGAGAGCTTCTCCATTACACTGGAGAGCTTCTCCACATCACACTGGATTACACTGGAGAATATCTCTCCATTACACCGGATAACACTGTATTATAGAGACAGGGTCTTCCTTTCCCACTGTGCTGCACTGGATTACACTGGAGAGCTTCTCCATCACACTGGATTACACTGGATATCTTCTCTCCATTACACCGGATAACACTGTATTATAGAGACAGGACGGGATCTTCCTTCCCCACTGTGCTGCACTGGATTACACTGGAGAGCTTCTCCATCACACTGGATTACACTGGAGATCTTCTCTCCATTACACCGGATAACACTGTATTATAGAGACAGGACGGGATCTTCCTTCCCCACTGTGCTGCACTGGATTACACTGGAGAGCTTCTCCATCACACTGGATTACACTGGAGATCTTCTCTCCATTACACCGGATAACACTGTATTATAGAGACAGGACGGGATCTTCCTTCACACTGTGCTGCACTGAATTACACTGGAATGATTCCCCATGTAATCGTTCAATGATGACTTTTTAAAAACTTCCAAGTTCCAATAAAAATATGTCTTATATAAAAATATTTGTATTGTTATAAAATTCTGTAAAATATATGGTCAAACATTCCATAAGAATCAAGCTTCTTCTTTGAGAAAGAGAGTCGCTCATTAGAAGCACAGTTTAAAATATTTGCCTAGCCACTTTACCAGCTAAACACCACTTTGGAAATTTCTAAGCATATCATGAATCTTTTGTGGATCTCTTGAAATCGAAGCCATCCTTGACTGACAAGGGCCATATCTTGAAACTATAGTCTTCAGGTGAGCGTTTTGAATTTTCCAAAGCTGGTGTTGGGGCTTTGTCACCAATTCGACTAAGCTAAATTGCAAACGCAGTTAATTTATAGCGTATAGCTTTTGCTTATATTATAATAGGAAGGTTAGCCTTTTTTATTAAAATTATCCCTCAGGCAATTTTCGTAAATTTATATTATGAGCTTTTGTAAAGGTTGTTTTTGTATTATTGTATATTGTGAATTGATTTTATATAGTTTGTTCTTGGTGAACTGCAATTGAGGCGGTCAAATTCTGATCTGTAATTGAATTTTCGATTGCCACGTTTTATTCGGAGTCTTTATCGTGAAACAGAAGATAAATTGAAACCACGTGACTACTTGAACTAGAAGCTATGAGGCTTTCCATTTTCTCTTTCGTCAATAGAAAGAAACCAAAGAGTAAGGCTTCCTGGTTGGGATACATCACGGCACCACGGACTGCATAGTACAGTACCTGCTTGGTACCTGGATCTACGATACAGAGCATAGCACGGTTGACCAGCGGTGGCCATTCGTGTTCAGAGATTCCGTGTAGCGTGAGCCACTCCGTGCAGCTTTCATCTTTGGCATACCTTCGTCCTAACCCGCAGTGATACTCCACATTGTTCACCATTACCACAAACATATCATCTTCATCGTTTTCTACCATCACAGCGTTATGCGGCTCCAGCTGACGTCTTAAATCCATCACCGTCAAATTGGGTGGATTGCCTTCTACTCCTGGTGACAAATCCAAAGCTTCTACTTCATTCATTAGTTCAACTTCAGTATCAGATGCCTCTTCATCTTCCGTTTCATCCTGCATATTTCCAATTAGCATTTTCCTATCTTCATCTACATTCTGTTCTAAAGCTCTTGTTTCTTCGGTCAAACCCATTTTGAGCATTGCCATCTCATTAGTGATTTGAAAAAGTGCTCTATCTTTAGCTTGACTCATATCCATTAAGGTATCGATTTCTTTATTTAGCTGGCAGACGTAATGATTTAGCTGATTGGTCTCCATTCTCAATTCTTCAATGGTACCTAACGCAGCTTGGTTCAGATTCTCTAATCGTAAATTTTCTTCTTTTATAATTCGGTTTTCGTCCTTCATACCCTCAATCTCTATTGAGATCCTTTCGGATTCTTGATTCATTTGTTGGATTATGTCTCTTAAACTCTGATTAATCGTTTTTTGATCTGAAATATAGTTTTGTAATACTCTTATATCTGAATTAATTTTGTGTATTTCGTTGTGAAATTCATCCATTCTTGAATCCATATTTTTTTGGTCTTCTTGACCTTCCGTCATTAAACTCATTTTATGTTCTTTGCTTTCTTTATCCATTTCGTTAATATTTATATTTGCTTCTTTGTTCTTCAAATTTCTACAATAATTTGTGAGTACTGGGAAATGAAAATAAATATCTTTTACGTGTTCTTCGATCATTTTAGGAGTCCCTTTAAAAGTGCACCCTAAATCTGAAAATTCGCAAGACAAAGCTTTAGTACAAACGTGGTTCAAATGGTATTCATAATCTTGGTTTGTCAACCTTTCTTGGCACATTTCACATTTGAGGGAATTTTCTACGCAAATTTCTCTATGTCTTGAGATTGAATGAGTAGCAAAAACTAAGCCACAATGTTGACATCGTGATTTGCCATGGCCACATTCTTCAATTTGGTGTTTATCCAAATCCTTCCGAAGAACATGCTCCTGGCACTTGTCGCATTCAACTGAATTGTAAAGGCATCGTTCTTCGTGAAGATTCTTCTCATCTTCTGAGGCAAAGAAAGCCTTGCAGCCGAAGTGACTTCTGGTACATCCCAGAATGTTTGATTCCACCATTTTATTGGCAATGCTGCTTGTACTAGGCAGTAACCAAGGGCATATATTTCTGGAAGCATATAATTGTTGATATCATTTAATCGAGTGAGAATCCAACTAACTAATATTTGCAAAACTATATAAAGAGAATACTAAAACCGTTAAAATATTAAATTTCAAAATTAAAATCCTAACACCAAGGAAAAAAATGCATTTAATTAAAATCTACAGACAAACTTGACGTTTATCTGCAATCTTCAATCGTAGAAAAAAAGAAAAGAAGTCACAAAGTCTGCAATGACTTGAGTATCTCCTTTTTATTTCTTTAAAATGATTATATCCAGGAGTTATCTATGGTGGATGAATATTTATAAATCGTTAAAGAATAAAATACAGATAACGTGCCAATGCCTTTAATTGGCAATGTCTAACTGGCTTATTTGCTGAAATATTTGAGAAGGAGCAATATTCGCCGAATATATTTTTATATATTTCTACTGCTCTTAAGCCTATGCCTATAATTTTCTTAACCAAGAATCACTCTAAGGTGCTGGATATATAAGAGTAAAAGGTCCAATATGTAAATACACTCATAGACAAAATTTAAGCAAGTTTCATATTTTTGAGTCGCCGGTCGTTTGTTTTTGAAGAAGTAGAGACAATTTTGTTCACACTTGGTTATCTCGTGTGTCTTCAATAAAGGTCACTGTAATATCTTTCAGAGTTTTGTCTGAATCCCGATATACATGCTTAAAGGCACAACTTCCT